ATCTCTGATACTTATCAGCTATCTTGTACTATTAGTAATATTAACATTTGTGTCTTTTTTCTCCCCAAGTACTGGAAATTGAATCCAATGACACTCTACTGCTGAGCTACATTCTCAGCTCTCTTTTATTTATTTTGGTACTGGGGATTGAACCCCAGGGTGCTTTACCACTAAGTTATATTCATATGCCTTTTAAATTTTTGAGACAGGGTGTTTCTAAGTTGCTGAGGCTGATCTTAAACTTGGGATCCTTCTGCCAGCTTCCTGAATATAGGCCACCACATCTTGCCCAGGCTGGAGTTTATATTGCATTTCTCCTGCCTCAGCCCTCTGAGTTGCTGGGATTACAGGCCCGACCATGAGTAGCATATCTCTCCAACAAGACTTCAAGTTTTTTGGACATAATTTGGTATTTCTTTCTCTGTGTTTCTGTTTGTCTCTCTCTCTTTTCATACTATGGCACTGAGGACTGAACTCAGGGGCATTTTTACCACTGAGAAAAATCCCCAATCTTTTTTATTTTTTGAGATGGACTCTCACTAAATTACTGAGAGTCTTGCTAAATTGTTCAGGCTGGCCTCAAACTTGTGATCTTCTTGCCTCAGGCTCCTGAGCAGCTGGGATTACAGGTATGCTCCTCTGAGGCTGGCTTAACAAGGTACCATTCAGGTTTTAGAACTTTCAGACCTATTTTCAAAGTTCTAAGGCACAAAACTTGTTGAGAATAATTTGAAACAAGAATGACAAGTCTGTGAATCAGAACAGTTGGGGAAGACTCAGGAGGAGGGATTTCCCCTATCTCACCACAACTTCCTACTATAGTTCCCACTTCCCTATCCTTAGTACTTCAGATACCTTTCATTTCAAAATCCACCCTGCTGGTGAAACCTTTGTTGAGTTGTATTTTTTTCTAACGAACCCTTTCTTGCGTTATTTTTTTCTTTTTCTAATGAGCATTTCAYTGTCTCATAATTCATGATACCCAGAGAACATTCCATTGTCATTAACTCAGATAAGTTATTTGGTGTTTTAACTACTACTATAATCTTCTATTTGGTCACTGGACTTTCTTAACCCCAAGTCATCTCTGCCAGTCTAATTTTTCCAGAATATCACTTACATGATTACTACCCCTGCTCAAAAAGTTCTGATTACTGGTAAATATTATATATTTAAAAGGATTTAAATTTCTTARTTTTGTGCTTCAGTAAACAGGTTCGTCTCTTTTCCTGGTGGTATCCAGAACTCCTGAAGAGGATTACTCAGTTTAATCACCTACTGACATGTGCTTATGTCCCTAAACCACAATGTGTGTTTTTGTTTTTGCTTATGGGACCTATGTGTCCAGATTTTCTAGCCTTCAGCCTAAATCTTTTTAATATCCAAATTAGAGTTCTGGGAGATATTTCTTGTTAAGTAATATTTGGAATTTCTGAAGAATGTTCTCAAGTCCCAGAAAACCACTTACATGACACTTGTGATGTCAATTGTCACATAGTCAGTTGTCTCATTCCAGACAAACTTTTACTCTCAGTTGTTGAGAGCTTGCTTTTACAAAGCCAGCTTCTACAGGCTGCTGCTGCTGTTCTCTAGGGACAATGTTGACCCAGGCATATTCCCAGGCTGCACATCTAATCCCATGCTGTACCGCTAAATTTAGGCTATAATAGTTCACAAAATTTAACAAGTTTAGAATAACTAGAGGGGCTACTGTACAGAAAACTTAAGTTGAGAATCTAGATATAAGGGTTGCTAGAGTTCACTGGCCAGCCACCTGCAAAGAGGGTTCCATACTGATGCTCCCTGATTTCCGTTGCCAGTCTTTCCCCTTTCCTCACTCCCCATCTAGCAACATTCATACTTCAAGGGCCAGCTTCTTTTCCTCCAATGAACTCGTGTCAGCTGGAAAATGGATATTTATTGAGTATCTTTCAAGTGCCAGTTACTATGCTAGGCCTTGGGGATATACAAGGGATAAGAAAACAGACAAAAGCCCTGTTTTCATGAGAAATAAATATTAAACAAATTAGTAAAACATTTCTCAGGTAAGAAAATAAAACAACAAACAAATGAAAACAATGGAAGTTTGCTGGCAGCTGGAAGTTTGCTGGAGCCCCTTCGGCTGTGGCTCTCAACATCCCCCCCCATTCTGGTGTCCACACTCAGGGTCTTCATATTTTCTGGGATCCAAACACGGAGGATAAACCAAATTTCCCTTCTATCTAGTTAAGGTGATTGCAATCTGTAGAAAAGCATTTTGACCCCAAGAATGACAGCTTTTTACATTATTATACAGTTTGGTTTCTTATTTTTTCATATTTCCTCAGTAGAGAATGAATACAGCCAAAATTCATGAAAACTTAAACTGCTTGGCACCACTATAAGCCCAATATATAAGCACTAATTTACGTAATTTTCAAAATTAACTCAGAGGGAGCTTTACTATTTTCTCCATTTTATAGTAAAGGCAAATAAAGCACAGAAAGGTTAAGTAATCAGCTCAAGGTCACATAGTAATAGCAGAATTAAGTAAGAATTCAGGCAATCTGATAGTCTATCCCAAACTTTTTATCACCCTCCCATTATTCCTCTCCATTTAGATAATTTGCATAATCACAGAAGGTTCATTAAACTGATTTCCCCCAAACAATGGAGCAATGTTTCCTCAAAGATGCATTCTACTTCCTGCTTTGGAGCTGAGAGGAAACTATTGACAATTTCTCAGTTTCCCATTTTTTCCCTCTGGAATTTCATCCCATAGTCAGGCTTAGCACATCCTGCCTCATCTCACGCTACCCTGAACTTCTCTTTTTCAGTTGTAGAAAACCTACCAGTCCTTTCACAGAAGCCAGACTGAGCCCAAAAGTTCTACTCCCATTGATTTCTGCCCTCTCTGTATTCATGTAACAATAACTGTCTATAGTAACACTCTTAGTCATTACCTTCCATACTTGATTTATAAGGAATGCACATGCATGGATCCCTAAAGTAAATCGCACAATGTCTTGCATAGACTTGGTATTAAAAAAGAATTACTAATTGTTCAATTGTTTGAGAGGGTTCTCAGGTTCTAGGAGATTATGTATTTTGCAGCAAGATTGGTAGCAAAGACAAATTTAGTTCTTGGTTTTGTTTTTATATAATTTAACATTAGGAAGTGTAAACATGCATTGAAATGTCATACTGTTCCTTGAACAGTACAATTATGTACAATTACTATATATTGATTAAAAACTTTAAGAAACTTATTTAAAAAAAGAAATTCAGGGAAAAAATCTGTGGATATTAGAGGTTAAATATCCCTAGTGTACAAATCTGAAATCTGAAATGCTRTGAAATTTGAAATTCTGTGCAAAGTCAGCACTCAAAAAGTTTTACATTTTGGAACATTTAGGATTTTGGATTTTTGGATTAAATGTGCAACTAGCAAATATTCCAAAACACAAAAAACTCTGAAATCTGAAATAGTTTCAGTGTCATATCAGATTAGGCATATACAATCTATATCAAAATATCATTCAATAAACATTAAATGTGCCAAGTCATTTTTCTCATTCTTCTAGGTATTAAGAAAGAACAAACTTTCTCTCCTTAACTCTATACCCAAGTTGCCATGCTTCCTTCTAGATTCAAATCCAAGATTATCATCCTTGTTCCTAAAACACAGAAACACATATTCTAAACTTGCTCCTCTTCAAAGTCTCAACATTTCTTTCTTTTTTCTTGTTGGTACTGGGGATTGAACTCAGGGGCATTCAACCACTTAGTCACATGCCCAGCCCTATTTTAGACACAATACCTTTATTTTATATGGTGCTGAGGATTGAACCCAGAGCCTCACGAATAGCAAGGCAAGTGATCTACCACTGAGCTACAGCCCCAGCCCCTCCCAGACCTATTTTGTATTTTATTTAGAGACAGGCTCTCACTGAGATGCTTAGTGCCTCTCTTTTGCTGAGGCTGGTTTAGAAATCCTTCTGCCTCAGCCTCTTCAGCTGTGGGATTACAGGCATGTGTTACTGCATCTGGCTTCAACATTTCTTGAAAGCTTCCCATCATCAATGGAACATATGTTAATCATATGTTTAAAAATAGAAATCTAAGTTTTAYATTCACCTGATGAATGTAATGAGAGAGAGTACCAAGACAATTTGCTTCTCATTTCTTTTGCCAGCTTAATAATACCATGAGGGCAATTTTCTATGTTTACATATAGTTTTTTTTATTAGCTATGGGTCGCTGCAGTTTTAATTTATGGTGTGATAAAAAGAGCTTACAATAATTTTCAGAACATTATTATTTTAGAGAGAGAGAGAGAGAGAGAGAGAGAGAGAGAGAGAGAGAGAGAGAGAGAGAGAGAGAGAATTTTTAATATTTATTTTTTAGTTCTCGGCGGACACAACATCTTTGTTGGTATGTGGTGTTGAGGATCGAACCAGGGCCGCACGCATGCCAGGCGATCGCGCTACCGCTTGAGCCACATCCCCAGCCCAGAACATTATTTTTTGAATTGAGGATTTTAAAGTAGAACAAATGAAGTAAAAATATTAGTATGCTTTTCCTAATTCTAGATACATAAATGCAATGAAAAAAATGTAAACCAAATTAAATGCAAGTTGGAAAGGAGAGCTTCATATAAATAATTGGTGGTAGAGATGTTTAGTTTCCTGCTACAATTCCAATCCAGAATTAGTTTCTAAAATAAAATGCATGGAAAATCTTCTCACTTGAATCTAAATGCAACAAATATGAACTAGATATTTAGTTCTTTGTAACTTTCTATAAAAGTTCCACAACTGTTTTGCATAGATTATATTAGGGATTCCTGTGTGAGTGTGCCAGACAAATTCAGAGAAAGGCATCTTGGTGTTTGCTTTCTTCTGTTCTAAGCAAATTCAACATTTTACTTGAATTATTATGCAAAGTAAATATCTATAAATTAGTATTGAAATAGAAAAATATTAAGTTAAAAATAATAGAAAGGCAATCTGAAAACCTATTTAAGACATTTCCCCTACACCATAACAATGGTATAAAACATTAACATGACGCTTGATAGGATCCACAATAAAATAAGAAAATGTCTGTTCATGGTTCTTTGTTGAAGGGTAGCACACACCAGTAGAATCCTAAAAAAGATAAACCTAAATTATTTAGTATACAATTACATTTAAATGATAATCAACATATTTGAATATTATATATTTTTTGTTAAAGCAACATGAAACATACATACATCCTTGACAATAAACTGGCAGTTAACTCATATTTTAAAATGTTGACCACATAATCTATTATGCTAGATGTATGTCTGTATTAAACATACATGCCTAATTCTTGTTCTTAAAGAATCTATAGTTCAAAGGGGAATTCCATCATATTTTAAAAAGTGCTTTTAATATGCTAATATACAAAATTTTCTATTTAGCAGTTTTCTCCTATCTATGTATATATTTTTCAAACTTGATCTCTATGTGCCACATATTTCTTTTATGTTGTKCCCTAGCCCAGCATACAATATACAGTAAATACAATAAATATTTAATAAATATTAGCTAAGTGATTGAATGAAGATACTTAGAAACTGCTTTATGTGTAATATCTTTTGTATGATACTAAAATTCAAGTATTAGATTCTGTAATATAAAGTTCATAACCCACTTCAATCTAATGTATGAAATATGATATGTCAAGAGCTTTGTAATGTTGTGAACAACCAATAAAAAAAATGTATTATAAAGCTTATGAAAAAAAAAGACATTTATGGTACTCATTTATTTGCGGTACTCTTATTTTGTGTTCTTCTCCATTAAGTCACAGATTTAGCTCTATAATTAGTAGAGAAAATTAGATACAGATAATAGGAAGCATAGAAATAAGTTCAAAGTATTCTCCAAACAAAATCATACCTTATATCAACTTTTGACAAAACACTAAATATCACCCTTTTTTCACCTAGTCATAAATGTCCTAACTAACACACCATTTGTAGCAAGTCTATTAACAAGAAGTAACTAAATTATTTGGTTGTAAATTTTTGCTCAATACTTACATAGGCTGTGACTTTAAAGATAGAAGAAGTAATTTGTATTTTCTTGGTTTGAGGATGCTTTCGAACACTAGAAAAGAAAAAAGATACATTTAAAATATATAACAAGCTTACTTAAAAATAAAATTTAATTAAGATTAAAAACAAAACCACATAGATAGCCTACAGTGACAAAGAGCATCATAAGGATGTGGGCCAAAGTAAAAGGCCAAATCGTGGGGTAGGTGGGATATAATGGCTTGTAGGGGTACAGGAAATTGTGCATGGACTTGCAGGGCTCTGGATGCCAAGTAGGCAGTATAAAGTTTTGGGAAGCATACTCAGATCAAGAAATAGCCTTGAACTTTGAATTTGAGACATCAGTGATTGAAGTCAAACCACTAATTTAAATCTCTTCTAGGTAAATGAAGAAAGAACAAAAACTTCATGCAAATACATATTTGGATATATACTAGATGCATCTTGATTTCATGTTAAAAGAGTGATTTTTAAAATCAGATTATATGGCATTATCTCCAATTGAAAGGACCTAACGGAATCAATTGTCTTGGATTCCAGACTGCAACTATGAGTTTACACAGAAACTTGATACTTAGGAAATAGATAAGGTGTTCTGATTATGCAGGTAAATAGACCGGAAAGAAAACTTGGCTTTGACTATTTGACAATAGAGCTAATAAAGACATCTTAAAGCCATTAAAATTATATGTATTATGTATAAAATAAGGATTTTTATATTGCACTTTAATGATCCCTTTTGTTATTTAGGTATTATTTTATTTTCAAATAGAACATGAAAATATAAAATATCCAACTAAAGTGGTTCGAAAAGGTTGGCATCTGAGGCTTCATCCAAGAATGAACAAGGTCAACTAAATTGAAATAATAGAAAACCAAATTTTACAATTAGGTGCGTGGTCAGTCTGAGATTCAGATGGTGAAATGACTACACCAGGTCACATAAACAATTATTGGATAAACAGGGATTTGTAAAAGTCAGACTGAAGTATAGATAGCTGTAAGGGATAGATAAAAACATGCGAAAGAATTAAACAACCTAAATACAAATGCCAGTGGTACCACTGAACTGTTATTTCACTTTGGACAAGATTAACCTCTCTGAAACTCAATTTTCTCAGATGTAAGCTGGACATATTATGGTTTCTTTTAGGATAAAAGAATTAAATGATATATATGAAGATAATGAATATAAAATAATATATATGAAAACTTTATATGTTTATCTTCATGAAATATATGAATATAATATGTATAAAATAATATATATGAAAACTATATTATAAAAACTTTGTTAAATCTATTGCTAAATTATATCATATAAAAATAATTTTCTCTTAGTAGCTCTCAGTTACTCTCCCTGAAGATTACCTGTGGCAATATGAAGAGAGGAAACAAACTAGGGATTGAGGAAATAAACAACAGACATACATTTTATGTTGTCTACATACAGTATTCATACATATTTAAAATGCCTTAAAGTTTGCAAAATATTATTTAAAGGTCACATAATTTAGGCATTATTTYGCCAATTTTACAGACAGCAGAAGTAGAAAAGTTAAATGAAATGTTTAAGAAAATCCAACTATAAGCGACATTTCTGGGAACAAAATCCAGATGACTGGGAGATCTATTCCCTCTCTTCTATACATCTGCTGTTTATCCCATACCTATATACCCTCTAAATACATATGAATCAAAGGTATTATTCATATGTAATATGAGTAGGTAAAATTTAAAGGAAGATCCCCCTTTGCCTACTTTACCAGGTGAAAATATTGCTAACTGTCTACTACATATGTAAAAATAATGGGAACAGAGAGGGGACAAGCAGGAAGAATGTAGACTGTGTGGAAGGGGTGTGTGTATGTGTGAATCTGCAAAGGCCTATAGTTGACCAGCCCCAGCCATTTTAGGGTTCCTGATTCCTAGGTAGTTTTCATCTCTACGAGATATTTCTTTCATAGTTAAACCCAGGAGTCATATGATTAAACTGATTTCCAAATATTTCTATAAATTGGGTCAAGGTAATTTTATTTTTCTAATGCCTAAGCTATACTACAAGATGAAGATGGCATTTAAAAATCTGTGCTTATCCAAGGATGACCATAACCACCATATATAAATATTCATATATACCCATAGCTAGGTGGCTAGCTCAAAATAAAGAACATATGCATAGTTATATCTAAATCAAAACAATATGGGGGTGGTATATGGTATAATCATGTGTAAAATTTATTGAGTTATATGTATACTTATGATTTATTTTTATACATATTATTATTATACATATTATTACTRTATGTAAATTGTCTCCATAAATATATTATTTAAAAAATAAACTACCACTTGCACATTACTAGAAGTTGATTCCTAACAGAAATAAATCATATTATTCTATTTTATTTCTTATGCTAATAATATCTAAGAATTTCTAAATTAATTTTAAAAAAGTAAATTCAGTATTACCTGTTATATATCTCTAAGGGAAAAAAAGGAAATGTAAAATAATAATCATTAGTGTCTTAACTGTTTTACTAATAATTAACATTATATCACACCTTTGGGCTTCACTAACTCCCTCGTTAGATAATCATAAGTTCCTTTTTTTTTTTTTTTTGTGATGCTAACAATCAAACTCAGGGCCTTGTGCATACTAGCCAAGCTTAAAATTATATTCAACATCTATAGCTATATCTATATATGTATATGTAGATATAGATATATTGATCATATTAATGGTTTGGAACATTATTTGTGATAATTTCTGAGAATCTGTCTCATACTGACTCTAAACTTTAGGGTAAAAAGACTATATTGTAAGCAACACTGCTCATTTTAAAAAACAGGAAGCCCACTGCTTAACTAGCATCTGAAAGCCATAATCTCAGTTCAAATAATAAAATTTTATCTGGGAAGAATAATTGACTTGGGAGAACTCTCTCAAAACTTTGGTAAAAACATGTATTTAGGGGCTGGAATTGTGGCTCAGTGGTAGAGTACTTGCCTAGCATTCATGAGGCACTGGGTTCAATCCTCAGGTTCACATAAAAAATAATAAATAAAATAAAGGCATTGTGTCCATCTAAAAAACTAAAGCAATAACGACAACAACAAACATGTATATATTTGAAATAATTATTTGCTTATTAAATAAAATGGTTTTTAAGTATTACCTACTTGATTTAAAGAAACAATAACCTTCAAAAAGAAAGCATTTTTCAAAACACTTAAAAGACGTATTTTATAGGATCTGTGATAATAGATGAGGAAAAAAGTATTTAAAAAATATTTTATTCAGGCTGRGATTGTGGCTCAGTGACAGAGCGCTTGCCTTGCATATGAAGCACTGGGACTGATCCTCAGCACCACATAAAAAATAAATAAATAAATAAATACAAGGATTGTGTCCATATACAACTAAAAAAAAGATTTTTTTTCTTTTGTTTGATTCAGAATTCCTGAAAATCACACTTCATAGTGTGTCCTTGACTTCCATAAACAAAGAATGGATTTTGCTGGAATACGTTATTTATAATGTTTATCTGCAAGGGCAGATTAGATCCTGTAAAGCAGCTGCTGCATGTTTCATTAGAAAGCTAGCAGAGGTCTTTCTAATGTATGCAAAACACCCAAAATTCTAGTAAATAAATGTGGAAAAATACTTCTTTGTTAAATTAGCTTGGTCAGATGACTTGGTTGGATATGTGGCTCAGAATTCTGAAAAAGTACTAAAGATACTTCAAGTCCCACCTTACATATTCCTTGATAACTACTATATCCACCCACTTTATCACTACCAATAGATGACAGGCCTTAATAAAATAACACAGCATTTGACCAAAATCAGCTTGACCAATATGAGGAAAGATGTATTTTATAGTACATATAGTATTTTATAGTACATATAGTGCATGTGAAAAACAAACTTTTAAGGGACTCAGATCAATTATCTAGTCAACTGCTTTGTACTGGTACCTAAATCATCTTTTTTAAAAAATATTTTTATATGTAGATGGATGCAATACCTTTATTTATTTATTTTTGTGTGGTGCTGAGAATTGAACCCAGTGCCTCAGTGGTAGGCAAGTGTCCTACCAATGAGCTACAAACCCAGCCCCTAAATCATCTTAAATAAGTAAATATTTAAACATAATTTTCTACTGAAGTGCTTTGAGAAGACCATTTCATTTCTCCTTGTTCAGCAAAAAAATTCATAAGTATGTTTAAACTTGCACCATTAGGAGAAATATTTAATGGTTCTCAAAAGCACTGCTCCACTTGGGCCAGTCTCTTTCCTAATCTCCTCTAGAATGACAGACTTGTTATGTATCACCTTTAAACTGGCAACAGAATGGTCCTCATAGACTTCATTCCATCAAGACTTCCCTGATGTCTCATACCCATACAATATCCTCTTTTGAACTTCTGGGCTATTACTTACAGTATAAAAAGTAGCAAACATTTGCCTATAAATAACTGAACACTTGGGGCTGGGGATGTGGCTCAAGCGGTAGCACGCTTGCCTGGCATGCCTGTGGCCCAGGTTTGATCCTCAGTACCATATACAAACAAAAATGTTGTGTCTGATGAAAACTAAAAAATAAATATTAAAAAATTCTCTCTTTAAAAAAATAATAAAAATAAATAACTGAACACTTGATTACATAAATAATTTTACTTTAAAGATTTTAAACAATTCCTTTACTATTATATGTAGTTTATTGCAATTTCTTAAGGTCAAGGACTATTTTGTTGTTCCTCTTGTAGCCTGTTTAGAGCCTAGTAGAGTTCTGTGAATAATACTGATACTTGCTGATTATCTGATTAAATGATTCTACACTTAGTTTTCTTGTAAGATGTCATGAATTTTGACTGCTCACTTTATGAGTGGTCATTACTCTTTTCTAGTCATACTTTTTCTTAGCACCCCCAAAATGTAGACGAGAATCACAAGTAAGAATTCAGGAATGGGAATGTTGGGAAAAAAGTAGTTTCTGCAGTGTTGAGGACCTAAAATTATATCTGTTTCAAGTATCTCCAACAGACCTTTGGTCTCCACAGCGCAGGTAGTGAGGAATTCTACAAACTTCATACTGACAAAGGGATCCGCCAAGGCACTGCAATGGTAATGGGGTACTTTTTGTGTGGGCATGTTGAGGGTACACTAGGTAAAGACTTCTGGTCTTTAATAGTACCAGAAGTGGTCTACAAGTTTTATACAAACTGTAAATTATTAGGACAGAAAATGTTTGATGTAGGCATGTATATACTTTTTCTGAAATTGTATTTCTAATGAATCTGTTTCAAAAATCTATGTAATGACACCTTTTCATTAAAATCAGATACAGATTATAGAAATATTTTTGTTTTTAACACCATATTAGAAATAAAAAGTAAAATAAATCATGTAGTTATATATATGACACAGGGACTAAATATAGGAATTAACTTGTTGAGTAAAGGAACAATTAAGAATCTGATAAAAGTTAATTCTGTTATTTTCCTAGTGAAGTAAAATTATGTACCTAAACTCTGGAACTCTCTGCTTCTCATTTGTATCCAACTTGTCTATAAAGATGATCTAATACCTTCATAATTGAGAAAACCCTAACAAAGAACATTTACTTAGTTAAAATAAGAATAAGAAATTTATAAAGTTTTAATCCTCATTTGATCTGCAATAAAAGAGAGGGAAACAAAGAAAGTCTATTAGAATTCCTAAAACCAACTATACAGCTTTGGGATGAATTTGAAAAGGTAAAGATGACACCTAAATGAAAATTCTTCTATTTCTTTAGAACAAAGGAAATAATTATTACCTATTAGTCAAGTAAACTCAAAATCCTGAGGGATCTTTCCTGTGCCTTTGTGATTTAAAAGGAGGTGAGTCAGTGGGGGAAGCCTGGAAGATGGCAGTCCATAATAAGGGATAGAATGGGTGATTGGTCTAACTGAGGAAACAAACAAAAGAGATAGATGAACAATGAGAGGACTTAGAATTAAAATAAAGAGAATTCTAGAAATCTTTCTAACTTGGAAAAAGGGGAGGTGGTTACAAGAGTGGGTGAGGTAGTGCTATTTCTACACACTCTGGTGATTAATATGATGACAAGGAGGTAATCCCATCATGATTACTTTTCTTTCTTTTTTCGAGACAGGGGTCTTACTTTGTTGTTCAGACTGTCCTCAATTCCTGGATTCAAGTGATCCTCCCACCTCAGCCTCCTAAGTAGCTGGGACTATAGTAATATACCACCAAGTCTGGCTCCTACCATGGTAAACAAACCATTTGCTGTATTAACTAGATATTTATGTATTGTGATCGAGCAACTTTACCTCACCAGATCCTTATAGATAAGTTTTGTTGTTTCCAGGTATGGTTTAAGCACATCTTCATACTGACAAAGGGATCCACCAAGGCAAAGATGTTTAAAAAGACAAAACAGGAACTCTTCTCTGTCTGGTTGCCTGAATACTTCATATTTTTCAGAGTCTTCCACTAGCAAAACCTAAGATGATAAATTAATACTAATGTAATATAACCCAGGATTTTAATTTTTAAGTTTTTAAACATATCAATTTACATATTTAAAGATAATCTTATTTATTTTTTGGTGCTGAGGCTCAAACCCAGGGCTTCACTCATGCTAGGCAAGCACTCTCTGACTACTGAGCTACACAACTCTGGTCCAATATTAAACTTACTTTAAGAACCAATCCTGAGGCAATTGGAGAGAATATATTTGTGATCTGCACTTATTTTGCCTCCATTTTTTCATTAGGTCCTAATATTGGATTAAAGGAATAAATGAAATTTTAAAATATAGCAGCCAAGTCTTCCTTTATTCTAATTTTTATTTTTAGTAATTATTTTAGTGCTATAGTATTTTTGGTGTTAAGTCACTTCAAATCTTATTAGGAAATAAACTAAAGTATAAATGAGAAAACTGCTCCATTCCATAAAGTGTTTCACCTTTGTTTCTATCCAGAGGCTAAACATTAATGGTCATTTTCTAAGCATTCTCACATTATTTGTTTGCTTTTAGAGATGGGTTCTTGCTATGGTACCCAGGCTGATTTTTAACTCAAGGGTTCATGTGATTCTTTGGCCTTAGCTTCTTGAGTAGCTGGGATTAGTGTCTGGATCACTACTTTCTTTATATCCCCAGCAGGTACTCCAATTTTGAGCCTGTCAGGTGTTGGAGCTTCATATCCACCTTTCCTTTTCCTGGTCCCTCTAATAAGATTACTTTTTACACATCATACCTGTACATTGACTCTTAATCTCCTGAGACCTTGCTACCACTTTCAGAAAACAATTTGACTAGGTCTGATATCAAGGATTTTTTTTTATATCATTGAGCATTACAGAAAGCATGCATTTACTGACTATAGGTGATGAATGTAAGCTATAAAAGAAGGTGAAAATTGTAAGTAAATAACACATTTTAAAGAATTGTTTATATCCAACCTACTTTTAAGAAGAATGTAAATACAATAAGACCAAAGTAATGAAAGACAAAAATTTGTTTAAAAAAACCTCAAAAAAGTGGGACAAAAACTCTTTTATATATAAAGAACTCTAGTGGATAAAGCTTTAAAAATCATGTAAAATATTTAACACTATAACAAAATATGATGAGTTATATAAGAATAACTGTCTAGTAGCAAGAATTACATTTAATTAAGATAATTAATTAAGCTTATTTACAACCTCTAAGGAAAACACAAGGTCATCGTATAAGAGCTATTTAAAGAATAATAAACTCTATGGTGTTGTCCATATACAGTTTATTTATAATGACTGATGAAAGCCAAGGTTATGTATAATAAAAGGGAAGGGGAAGTAATTCATGGTTTATTGTCTCTGGGCATGCTACATGTAAAACTTATACTTTTCCACTTCCTAACTTACTCCTTTCTTCCTTCCCTATAAATAAATGATGTAATATTAAAGCTTTTGTTTATAGTTACTTGAAGATCTGAGTACTAGGGTGAACAAAGCAATTAGGAGTTAACACATTTCCCCTCCACTACATTCTGGTGATTGAATCTAGGAGTACTCTGCCATTGAGCTATATTCCAACCCCTTTTTATTTCATTTTGAGACAAGTTCCCACTAAGTTGTCCAGACTGGCTTGGAACTTGCAATCCTCCTGTTTTGACCTTCCAAGTTGTTGACATTACAAGTATGTGCCACTGCACCTAGTAATTAATAAATGTTTATAATGAGCACTGTCATACACTGTACTGATTAGACTACATAATTTTAAAATATGACAACTAAAAAATTTTGGAATGCATATTAAAAACATTATATGACTGTTCTCTCTTCCATTTATATACAGTTTTCTGGCTGTACAGCCCTGAGATGGCAGATAAGCAATGGTTAACATTGCATATCTGAGTCATAGTCAGGAAAGAGGCTATTATTAGTGCTTACATTACAGTGTGCCAATAGAATATGTATAGTCGCACAATGTGTGTGGAGGAACTTTTTAATTCAAGCTAAAACTGGAAATAATAATTATTATATTATTACTAATAATTATTAATACACTATTATTATAATTATCATTATTTTCTGCCAGAAAGTAACCAATTAAAAGACCTTCCCTTGAGCTGGGGATATAGCTCAGTTGGTAGAGTGCTTGCCTCACATGCACAAGGCCCCAGCACTACCAAAAAAAAAAAAAAAAAACAAACAAAAAAAAAACAACTTCTCTATTGCCATGGAGTGGCAAAGAACATAAAAGCAAAATACATAGGGAATTTGCAAGAAAATACTGAGTTCTAGCACTTTAAGAATAAGGGTGCTTGACATTCCTGGCAATAAATATGACAGATAGCAGGCAGTTTTGCAGATTATTACATTGGAAAAACAAATCCTCCTTTAAAAGTTCATTCATTGATGAGGTCCTTTCTATAGAAGTGATGGTAAATTCTCTGAAATTAGAGGTAAGGATTTTATGCCAGAATGGAATGATGGAAGAGGGAAGAAGGGAGAAAAAGAGCTGAGATTATCAGTATTCAAAAGGAGGAAACTCAAACCAAACATTTCCTAAATGGTAATTTCCAGTTCTTAGTGGAAATTAATGTCAATCCCCATTGTATTTATTTCATATTAGATATAAGTATACTTCATTTCAATAAGTTAATTTCATTTCCTTCTTAAGCTAAGTTAAAAGGTTCTTTTAGGTGCATTCTAGTGTAGATTAATGTATAGTTGGGCTGGATACCTCTCTTTCCCCTACAGTGAAGATTTCTGTGTTCAGAATTGTGAATTAGCAGCTGCCCTAGTTCATTCCAATCTGGATTTGTAATATATTAGATTTGTATAATCTCCCTTTTCTCTGTTTCTAAAATTTTTTTTTAGTTGTCAATGGACCTTTATTTTTTGTTTATTTATATGTAGTGCTGAGAATTGAACCCAGCCTCCCACATGCTATGCAAGTGTTCTACCACTGAGGTACAACCCCAGCCCCCTCCCTTTCCTCTTAATGGAGAACAGCAGTAGTTGTTGTTAATATAACAAGTTTACTAAGTGCCAGGCATAGTGCTAAGCACTTTATGTGCATTATCTCACATAATTCTGACATTATGCTTATTTTACAGAGGAAAAGAAATCTTAGACTAAATATCATGATAATTAAGTGGCAGAGCCTGGTATGCACTGATGTCTAGGTTCAATTATTACAATATTACACATATTATATATATTTTATAATGTACATTTCACTTTAACAGCATTTCATACTTTCTAAAAAAGTACATTTAAGTATTTCTTCAATTCATTTTTCAATGCTTTTAAGAAGAAAGTGTTTCTGTGTTATAGATTGAATGATTTGCCTGAGGTTATTATATTGTAAATAATAAATCAGGAATTAGATAAATACATGTATTTGGTTCCAAGTTCAGTGTACCTCTCACTAATCCAAAATTTAGTTTATCAAATGAGTTTGATACTCATTTTGATACTCAACCCAACCACATTGAGTTGATCTTAGCAATAAGAGAGAAGTTTTTACTCAAGGATTTATTTTTATTTTTTATTTTATTTTTTGGCAGTATTGGGGGTAGAACTCAGGGGGAATTCTTTCTCTGAGCTATAGCCCTACCCTTTTCTACTTTTTTTTTTTTTTTGAGACAGGGTCTTGATAAATTATCAATGTTGGCTTCAAACCTACAATTCTCCTGCCCTAGCCTTCTGAGTCTCTGGGATTACAGGTGTGTACCACTGCATCCAGCACTACAGGCACATATTTGATATTTGTTTGATAGGCCAAGAGCCTCAAACTAAGCACACTTTTTTTTATGTGACACAGGGTTCTTACATTACTTTAATACCAGAAAAATAGCTATTAATTAAATAGGCAAGTTTCTCTATCTCTTCATTGTTGACATGTTGGGCCAGATAACTTTTTTGTGTGTGGAATTTTGAGGAACTGTGCTGTGAGTTATATTTAGCAGCATCCCTACTCATCAGATATCAATAGCATCCTGTAGAGAGCTACTGAAAAATATAAAAATAAGTACATTGACAGTAAAAGTGCTATCCAAGAATAAATGTATCAATCTAATGATTATTACTGATCATTTTTATTAACAAGAAGTACTTTATGGGCTTTAAGCAGGCAATAGTTTTTGACATTTTGCATTTTTTTTAAAAGAAAGAGAAGAGAGAGAGAGAGAGAGAGAGAGAGAGAGAGAGAATGAATGAGAACTTTTTTTTGATATTTATTTTTCAGTTTTTGGAGGACACAACATCTTTGTTTGTATGTGGTGCTGAGGATCGAACCCGGGTCGCACGCATGCCAGGCGAGCGCGCTACCAATTGAGCCACATCTCCAGCCCAACATTTTGCATTTCTTGAAATAAGATTTCAATGTGAAATTTAAAAATTCTATACTTACTTTTCGTAACTCATCAGAAATGAGAAATGGATCACAAAAAGAATCTAAACACTTAACAATATGACCATTGTCTCGTACAATATCTTCATCATATAACCGATTAAAAAATGACATTGAAAGCTGTGTGCAAGGAACATTTATAGCTTCAATTTTTTTCACTTCAGTTCCTGGAAAAAATATTTTAAAAAGAGATAGATAAGTTAATTTAATATTTTCAGTTCTAAAATAAATCACAATGCAGAGACCTAAGAAATAACCAAATATGACATTTTGATATATGTTGCATGAAAATGTTTTGGTCAATGATGGCTATATACAATATGGTGGTTCATAAGATTCTAATGGAGCTAAAAAATTCCTACTGCATTGTGATGTTGTAGATGTCTCTAACATCATAGTGCAACGCATAACTCACATTTGTGGTGATGCGGGTGCAAGCAAACCTACTACACTGCCAGTCATATAATAGAATAACATACAATTATGTACAATACATAATACTTGATAATGTCAATACATGACTACGTTCTGGTTTACATATTTACTGTATTATACTTTCTATCATTATTTTAGAGTGTATGCCTTCTATTTATTAAAAAAAAGGTGAACATAAAATGTGCTGTCTTAAGCTAGAAGTAGCTTCATACATCTCATGTTTATTGCATCTCTTGATTATAGCAAGAGGTCACATTGAAAAAATTGACCCATACCATCTAGATTTGTGTAAATACACTTTTATAATGTTCATATTACTAAAGATGAATTTCTCAGAATATATTCCATTGTCTAACAACATATAGCTGTACTTAAAAGACATATTAGTTTGGGGATTTTATTAAATTCTTATTTTGCAGCTTATTTGTTTTTAATTAATCATTCAAACATTGTAACAAAATCTTACCATTTCAGGACTAGAGGAGCTAAATTGGAGAATACTTGAAAACTAAGCACACTTTTTTTTATGTGACACAGGGTTCTTACATTACTTTCAATATCAGAATTGCCTATAAAAGTGGAGGAACTGCTGAGCATGGTGGCGCACACCTATAATCCTAGAGGCTTGGGATTCTGAGACAGGAGGATCATAAGTTCAAGGCCAGTCTTACAAAAAAAAAAAAAAAACCAAAAAACAAAGAAACTTCTTTATGTGATCTTTGGATTTGCATCATGCTCAATGTTTTATAATCTGTACCACAAAATTTTAGTTAATGGATCTTGAAAACATTTTCTCATTTAAAATTTTCTCCTTTGTGATCTCATTTATAGTGTTTATTACAAAACGTTTCCAAGCCAAAGTAAATTTCAAAGCAGGTTTAGTTAAATTATCGTTTAGTTAAATTATCACAAGTTCAGAATTATAGAAATTTGAAAAAATGGCATTTTGTCTATTTTTCTTTTATTTAGCTTTAGTTTTTCTCCTTTCTACCTCTTCCCCAATCCCACACGTATTTCCTGAAGGTACTTTCAGGAATGGATTTTCAATTACTAAAGTTTCCATTAAATTACAGAAAGGCACAGATTAAAATGAATGTTTTTATGATTATATCAAATAATTATTCCCCCTCTCTTTTATGTACACACATACACACACATTTACTCAGATAGATGAGGATGGTATTCATTTGTTCAAAGTTTTAAGGAGCTTATAGAYCTAGGTGTGGTGGCCCTTGGCGTATCCTCTTCCTGGATACTTTTGCTAAACCTCTGACCTGAAAAGTAGCGTGTGCTAAGAGTAATTAAAACTGGCAGTTGTTTGCACTTCCTATTTCGGCTGTCCACCTAAAGTCATGCTAGGACCTGTTGCTGTAGGTTATGAACGTTAACTAGGCTAGTGTGGAAACAAGAAGGATGCCTGGAGCCAGGAACTATGTATGCCTCAGTAATTGCAAAAGCTATGATGCCAAGAGAAGCTCCTTTTGTTTCAGAGGCAAAATCCTCTTGGGGATAGATAAATTTAAAAGAACATAGAGAATGATAAATTAGTTCTGAGTATTGTTGAAAGATTAAAGACAAGAGCAGTATACAGCAGATCAGTTTCAAAAGATTGGTTGGTGGCCACAGGATGAGGGACCTATGACACTGGGACACATGCCATTTTAATAAATCTACCTCAGCTCTGATTTGGGGAGTGGCAGGAAGGTTTGGTTAGCAAGAAATGGTAATTAAATTCAAATCACTTAAACTGAGGCATGAAAATAGCATTTGCTATTGACTGGATTATATGCCTTAAAAATTTACATGTTGCTCCTCAGATACATTAGTATTCAGAACATACAAAGAACTCAAAAAATTTAACACCAAAATCAAATAACCTAAACAATAAATGGGCAAAAAAACCAAACAGACACTTCTCAAAAGAAGAAATATAATGGTCAAAAAATATATGAAAAAATGTTTAACATCTCTAGCAATTAGGGAAATGCAAATTAAAATGACATTGAGATTTCATCTCTAGTCAGAATGACAAATGATAATAAATGTTGGTGAGGCTGTATGAGGAAAAAGGTACACTCATACAATGTCAGTAGGACTKCAAATTAGTTGCAAGCACTCTGGAAAGCAGTATGATGATTCCTTAAAAAACTAAGAATGGAACCCCCATATCCCACTTCTCAGTATATAACCAAAAGATCTAAAATCAGCATTATATGGTGACACAGCCAAATAAATGTTTATAGCAGCACAATTCACAATAGTCAAATTATGGGACAAACTTAGGTGCCCTTTGAACAGATATAGAAAATGTGAAAACACACACACACACACATATAAAATGGATAAATAAATAAATAAATAAATAAATAAATATAAAGATATATATATAATAAAGATATATATTCTATATACACACACACACACACATATATATATATATATATACATATACATACATATGCATACATATGGACTCCCTATACTCCCTACACACAATGGAGTATTACTCAGCCATAAAGAAGAATGACATTATGGCATTTGCTGGTAAATAGACAGAACTAGAGATTATGCTACATGAAATAAGCCAGCCCTCAAAAGTCAAAGGTTGAATGTTTACTCTGATATGTGGATACTAATCCAAAATAAGGGGAAGGGGGGATAAAAAAACAGAAAAAAGATCAATGGAGTAGATGAAAGGGATTGAAGGGGAGGGAGGAAGAAGGATAAGGAAAAAACAGTGGAATTAATCTGACCCAATTTTCCTATGTACATACATGAATATACCACAGTGAATCTCACTATTGTATATATCCACAAGACACTAATTTAAAAATATATATATAACTAAAGCGCAAAAAGATCAGTAGAGGGAAGGGAACAGGGAGTGAGAGGAGGGGAGAAAGTGAAGTAAGGGGTACTAAATTAGAATCAATTCTATGCTTTTATAATTCTGTCAAAATGAATTCAAATGTTATGTATAACAAGAACCAATAAAAAGAAGACATTAAAAAATAAAAATAATGAATTTGCATGTTGAAACCCTAATTCCCAATGTGATAACATTTGGAGATGGGGCATTTGGGAAGTAATTAAGGACAGATGATGCCATGGGAGGTCAGGGGCTTCTAAATATGAATTTATACAACACAATTCAGTCAATAGCATTTCACTCTTAGTTACCCAAAGCCATGAATTACTGTTCTCACATGCAAAGTATATTCATTCCATTCCAACAGCTCCCCAGAATTTAATTTACTCAATCATCAATTCTGAAGTCTAAAGTTCCAAGTGTCATCTAAATTGGATATGGGTGAGATTGAGGTATCATTCACCCTGAGGCAAAATTTCTCTCTAGTTATAAACTTGTGAAATCAAACACATTATGTGCTTCTAAAATACATTGATTGGATGGACATGGGATAGTCACTTCATTTTGGCAGTGGGAGAGGGAGAATTGGGAAATTAAGGAATGGGTGATAGGTGCCAAGCAAGCCCATAATTTAGCAAGGCAAATTCCTTTAGATCTTAAGGCTCAAAATAATCCCTTTTTGCTCTATACTCTGCCTTCTGAACCCACAGATATGATGGTCTCAACTCTGCCTGGGTGGAGGCAAAGCCCTCAGGCACCAGGTGGCCCAATCCCTAAGGTTTTACTGGGTCAGCTTGGCTCTGCAGGGTGGCACTGAATTTGAGGCTTTGGTTGGAGGCTGTCGGGTCTGTTGAAATGGAGGTGGTGGCCCTAATGATCTCTGAATTGCTTTTGGAGTCTTCCCTTTTCTTGAAGACTAGTTCATATTTGCAGTCAAATAGTGGAGTCCTATAGGATCTAAGAGGTTCAACACCCTTCATTCATTTCAGCTTGCTTTTTTTTGACCCCTTTAGCTCAAACTAGCAGTGTCTTCTCTGGTACAATTCCATCTCTATTCCTGGTTTCTGAAATCTCCTCAGGTAAATTTCTGATTTTATCACTTGCAAGTTCTACCGTCCATAAAGCACTTGAACACAGTTCAGCCAAACTATTTGTCACATTATAACAAAGAGCACCTTTCTTCCAGTTTCCAATATAATGTTCCTCATTTCCTTCAGAGCTGTCACTAGAATTGACTTTAACATTTACATTTCTAGCATGTACTTAAAAATTCTTTGAGCCTCTACCAAGAGGCTTCCCAAGCCACTCTATACTTTTAGCTATTTGTTATGGTAGCGCCATATTTCTTAATGATATATTAATTATATTATAGATTAAATATATTAATCTATTCTAGAATCTGGGAAATCCAAGATCAAGGTGCAAATGATTTGGTTCCTGACTTGCAGATGGTTGATTTCACACAGCATAGAGAGCATTCTAGTGTTTTTTCTTATTATAAGGGAACTAATTCCATAAAAAAGGTCCCATACTCATGCCTTCATCTAAACCTAAATTCCTCCTAAAGGTCCCATTTCTAAATACTATCAAAATGAGAGTTTAGAGTTTACACATATGAATTTGGAGTGGGGGCATAACTCAGTTGATAGCACATGCTAACTTGTTATGTAGTAATTTTATAAAATTTTATCTTCAACATTTATAAGATATGTATTGCTATGACCACATAAAATTAAAATGCATTTTTTCCACTAATAGTAGCATTATAAGATGCTAGATGCTTCCTTTTTATTTGATGTCTTAAGTTAATACTTTTCTGGCAGCCCTATAAACATGGAAGTGACAGATGTGAAAGAGTGTAGGGAGTCAAGGTCTTAAATTCAGGAACCTGGATTTGAATCTCAACTATATCCAGCCAGCATATAAAACTGCACAGATAATTTAGCTTTGGCTCTCACTCATTCATAAATTACAGATGTATAATGATCTCTGTGTTAAAAGAAGTAATGTGTATGCCTTTAGCATCCATTATTTGTTATCTAAAAAAAGCAAAGTATGTCTAAACCATGGGACTATGCTTCTGAGATGATGGAGCACAAATAACAGGCAACGTGGGCAGTACAGCTGGTAGTAAAGGAGGGTCCATCATCATTTTCTCTGGAATTGGTTCACCTGCTAGCATAATACCTCTTATTTCAAAAAAAAATTTTTTTTTGCATATAAAGGCCTCCAGAGGAACATTCAAGGGAAGATGTCCAATACACAAGGAAAAGAACAAGAAAAGTTAAAGATTTAAAAAAAAAAAAAAAAGCTGATGGAAGAGGACTAGCAATCTACCAGAATTGCTTCTAAAATGGAATACTACTCTTTTGTCCTATTTTCAGAGTACTTCTAATTGATCCTGTTAGGCACATATGGAATTTTAGAACTTATCTTTTTGCAATGCCTTATTAAAAAATCAGAAAAAGTTGGTGCTGTTTTGTGAAGTGTGTAGCAATATAGGGAAGGTTGAACACTTACCTTCAGTAAACCTTATTTTTTTCAAATGGATTGACTGAAACTACTGTAATACATGGCTCTGATTATTCCTTTTTGAAAAATTTGAAGCATTAAATATATTTGCTCAGATATTCAGTTCAATTTTGTAAGTAGTCTAAAGATCATTCATACCAGTTTTCTGCTCTATAAATTTTGCAGTAGTCTTTAGCCAAAGCAATAAAGTTTGATCTGTTAAGTCTAATATCATGAACAATCTGTAGTCTTCTTCTTAAAATAATACTTTAAGAAAAATTACTTTTGTGTGACCACTACTAGAATTCCATGAAAATACAGTTGTAGGATAGTTTACCAAAAGTCCCCCATGCCCAAACAAAATAACTAATTTAAAATCAATTTGCATATTGAGTACAATCACATTGCCAGATTCTCCTAAATGTAATAATGCTTTTACTTGTTCTAGTGTTGAAACCTCAAACTTAAATTTAAAATATAGTATTCAAAGTAAGCCAAATTTAGAAAGTCAAGGATTGGATGTTTTCTCTCATACTGGATGCTAGAGAGGAAAAGGGGAAAGAAAGGTGGGGATGGGGATCTCATGAAAACTGAAGGGAGATTGATGGAGTAGAAGAAAGGGAACGGGGCAAGAGAGGAGGGAAGGGAAAAGGGAAATATTGGGGAATAAGATTGGCAAAATTATACTCTTATATTGTGTGCATGTACAAATATGTAATAATAAATCCTACCATTATGTGCAACTATAATGCACCAATAAAATATGAAAAAAATAAATTTAAATGATTAAAAAAACAAAATAGAACAGATTTTAAATGTCTTTGTCACAAAGAAATGATAAGTATTTGAGGTGATKCATATGCTAATTACCTTGATTTGATCATCATATAATGTACACATATATTGAAACATCATGATTTATCCTATAAATATGTATAATTGTGTCAATTAAAAATAAAAAAACTTGTGCTGGGTTTGCAGCTCAGTAGTAGAACAATGGCTATCACACATGAGGCACTGGGTTCACTCCTCAGCACCACATATAAATAAAATAAAGGTATTGTGTCTACTTACAACTAAAAAAAGTATTTAAAAATAAAAAATAAAAGTCTTCTAAAAACATAAAAATCAAGAAAATCTAGTGTTCATGTTTTGCTTCCAAAACAGTCTTTTTAACACTGATTTCTTTCTTGACCTATTTAAGAGATTTAAATGAGTGTTGTTAAGTAATTAAACATTTGGGTAACTTTCTTTAAAAGTTCCTACCTGGGGGCTGGGGTTGTGGCTTAGTGGTAGAGTGCTTGCCTAGCATGTGTGAGGCACTGGGTTCAATTCTCAGCACCATAATTAGTTTACCTTTATTTTTAGCTGTATTTCAATGTATTATGACAATATTATTTATATAAATTTATTTTGAGATTTTAAGACACTTCTCCACAACTTAATATATTATTTTAAAAAAACATTCTATGGTAGCTGATTCCTCTTCAGAAATTCATGCCCCCATCAGAATGGAAATTTTTGCCTAAGCATCCTCATATTAGTCTATCTTTCCTGATCCTTTCCCTCTGGGTAGAACTGACCACTCCTCACCTCATGCTCCCATTTTTTTTAAGTTTTTTTAATATTTATTTTTCAGTTTTCAGTGGACACAACATCTTTATTTGATTTTTTTTATGTGGTATTGAGGATGGAACCCAGCGCCCTGTGCCTGTCAGGCGAGAGCATTACCGCTTGAGCCACATCCCCAGACCTCGCCCTTTTTTTTTTTTTTTTTTTTTTAAAGAGAGAGTGAGAGAGAGAGAGAGAGAGGGAGAGAGAGAGAATTTTAATATTTATTTTTTAGTTATCAGCGGACACAACATCTTTGTTTGTATGTGGTGCTGAGGATCGAACCCGGGCCGCACGCATGCCAGGCGAGCGCGCTACCGCTTGAGCCACATCCCCAGCCCTCATGCTCCCATTTTTATGGTAGAATATATAATATATTATTACACACACCACACATACACACACTCTCTCTCTCTCTCACACACACACACACTTCAACAAGTTCCTTGAATACAGGTTTTCTTTCATCCACTTTATGCTCCCTGCATCTAGCAGAGTACATAGGAGGTGCACAATAAATACTTTTTAAAAATACATACTTTTTAAAATCAATAAAAAGGAAAATTACTCTTAGGTTCTGAACCAGGACAATATCAATAGACTACTGGGAGAGATGCAGAGCAGGCCTGGTATGACTGGTCAAACTTAATTTTTTTTTTTTTCCTGTACCAGGGATTGAACCCATGGATGCTTTACTACTGAGCTATATCCCAACACTATTTATTTTTTACTTTGCGACAAGGTCTTGCTAAGTTGCTTAGAACCTCACTAAGTTGCTGAGGCTGGCTTTGAACCTGAGATCCTCCTGCCTCAGCCTCACAAATTGCTGGGATTACAGAAATGCACTTCTGAATCCACTACTTGTAATCCTCCTGTCTCAGCCTCCCAAGTAGCTGGGATTACAGGGGTGCATCACCACACCTGGCTCAAAATTTGTATTTTAATAATGAAAATTTTGGGGGCAAAATTTTGTTATAATAGCAAAATAGTCACCTGGAAAGATGAAATTTTATTTACCTAATGTAATCCACTGTCCAGAAGAATCTGAAAGTAACTGCAAATTTGGAATAACATTTGGGTCTTTGAAAAAAGCCTAAAATACAAGTTAGAGAAGAACATGTTAGATATTTTATTATAAATAATAATAAAATCAACTTCTAAAATTACTTTAGTAAAATTTAAACTAGGAAGGACCCTTCCATATTGGTAAAGAAGTTTTATTACATTCAAACTGGAACAGCGTAAACAGCAATGTGTCTCTAAGTACAGATAAATTTGGGGAATTAATAAATGAAAAATGGTTTATAGTAAAAATTAGGAGAGTATATATTATCTGAAAACTTTATTTTCCTCCTATCTTATTTTCTGAATTAATCTTCTTAATAACCATTAATACACTGGATCTAAATCTAAAACTAACCACCCACCAATCTGTCTATCCAAGGGAGCACATAGCAAAGTGACAGGTTTGACTTGCTATTAACAAATTTTCTATGTGACAAAAGGCAACATAATGGGCTGGAGATTTAGCTCAGTAGTAGAGCACTTGCCTAGCATGTGTAAGGCCCTGAGTTCAATCCCCAGAACCACATAAATAAATAAATAAATAAATAAATAAAATTTAAAAGGCAACATAGTAGTCAATCAAGAATTTTATTATCAAGTACTAGCAGCTGACTCTGGCTGAAAGGTAGAAGACAAATGAAAAGCATCTCAGGCAATCTACAAAACTTCAGGCTTCAGTTTACACATTTGGAATGATATAAAATCACATGAAGAATTGCTCTGATGAGGAAACTGTCACCTTTGTTGCAGCAGCCCCATAAAGCACTAGAGAAAGCTATTACCACTTCTATTTCCTAACTCTGCTTGGTGTRTTTATAAATCAAGTGTATTTATATCAGCCATAGACACTATTACTACTTGTTTCTAACCAAGCCACTGCTGTGATGCCTCTGCCACCACTTTTGTCAGTGAAATGGATTCTGTGTGCATCTTAAGTTGTTCATTTCAAAATCACAGTCTTGAAATGATCACTCTGGTTGGTAACCTAGGTACTTTGCGCTTAATGTTCATCTCCCCTACCCTCCTTCCCTGTGTTGGAGATTGAACTCAAGTTTTCACACATGCCAATTACTCATTCTATCGCTTATGTAACTAGCCCTAGGTCTTGTGTTCTAAATGTAAGGGAGAAGATCCTTGCAATTTTTGGGGGGGAGGAGGGCAGGAGAGAGTTCCACTTGGACTTCCAAAAAGCAAAGGGTAGAAATTACCCCCAAATCACAAGGCTGTTCAAAAGTGCTGGGCAGCCAGAAAATATATTAGTGATGAGCAATTTAATCAAAGAAAAACAATAGACTGAGAGAAAATATTTCCGACAAATATGATAACAAAGAGGGGGAGCTAATTCTCAATATTTTTTAAAAAAGCTCAAAATTTGTAAGAAAAACTGACAACCTGATTTAAAGCTGTTCAAAGAATAAAAACAGGTGTGTAAAAAATGCAAATAGCCAATAATTATGAAAAGATGCTCAACTTCAAGAGCAGTGAAAGAAATGAAATCAGAAATCACATGATAACATGTTAACCCCACTACATTGCCCCCCCCCCCAAAACAAGAGTGGTAAGGTTATTTTTTTTTTCCCTTTGTTTTGTTTTTTCAGTGCTGGGCAATGAACCCTGGGCCTTGTGCATGCTAGGCAAATTCTCACCCTCTGAGTCATAACCCTAAGTCCTGAGACTGGTAACTTTCGGCAAGAGTAGTAGAAAATATGCATTCTTACAAGCTGCTGTAAGTGTAAATCTTTACAACCTTTTGGGAAAGTAACGTTATTATCTTGAATAATAAAAACGTGAGTTAATTATGATCCTGCAAACTCTTACTTTTGGGTTTTGAAATCACTAGCAGGCATATTTATTTATTTTTGTAGAATTGTTTGTGGGGTCAAAATCTGGAAACCACTTCAATGTCCATCAATAGAAGCATGGTTGAATAAAATATACCAGACAGAATTCAGCTACTAGAAAAAAGCACTAAAACAAATTGTAAGCTTCCTAAGTAGTGGAACTTGCTTTTCTCATTCATTGCTATATCTGTAGTGCTTAGAATGGCCTGACATAAAGTAGTTACTCAATAAATTTTTCCTAAATGGGTATTATGACTTTAAGGGAAAAAATCATAAATATTTAAAATCTCCCCGATAATAAAAGGTAGTTAAGAGTAATGTGTATGATGCTCTACACATCTACATGTACATAAAGAAAAATATGGAAGAATATATACAAAACTTTTAGATGAGGTGGTTATAGATTTGTGGAAGAAGATGGTTAAGGGGATGGAAGGTAATTTTAGATTGGGATAGAGAAATATCATTTTTTCCTATGAATTGTTCTTTATTGTTTAAATTGTTACAATAAAAATTGTTATAATAAATATTTTCCTGTTTTTAATATCCCCTTCAAGCAACGATTTTTCCTAAATAGCTTATTGAAGAAGCAATCTTACTTCTTTATCAACCACTCATTCCTCTTATCTTGCTCCTCATTTCCTTCATTTAACTAAAATATTCTTTACTTCCTAATTCTAAAATTCAATAGACATAATATGCCTGCCCTCATGGAGTTTATAGACAAAAAAGGAAGATAGTAATGTGCTGTGAGTATTATTACAAAGGAATGCAAGCTATCCATGTTTGTAAAGGAGTGCTATCCATGTATTTATACAATAGGTAGTCCTAATCTAATGGTGTTGGAAAGAAAGGTTGGTGAAAAAAAAAATTAGGTTTAGAACTAAAAGGTGAGTAGGAGTTAGCTGGGCAAGAGGTATTCTGGTAAATGTTTAACAACTGACCTCCCTTCCTCTCTCCCTAAAGCCCTGATTTGTAACATTTACCAGTTTTCATTGTGTATTTCAAGCTGCCAGCAGTTTAACAATCAGCAAACAAAGATTATTGAAAGTTTAGCAATCTAGCTCTCCTGAACTGGTTCCAGCATGCTACTAGAAAGACTAGTTGGGGAAAACGTCAAGTTTAAAGGCTCTAAAATAAGAAAGGATGGGACATTCCAATGGAGGAAAACAAAGAGGTTTAGTGTAACCATAATAGGAGTTGCAATGGTCAGATGAGTGTAGGAGTTAAACTGAACCTTGTAGTCAAGTGAAGAATTTTAATCTTGACCTAAAAACTATCTAAATCTTGGTCAGAATTTTGATCTAAAGGCAGTGGGAAGACACAAAAAAAATTGTTATCAGAGGACAGAGTGATTAAATCATATTTTTAAAAGTTCATTCTAGTTTCAGTTTGGACAATGAATTGAAGGGCTATAAAGAGACTATTCAGGAGTGAGATTCTGTTGGCAGAAGCATTGATGTTCATAGCAGTCAAGGTGCTAGCTAGTGGGAAATGGATGGATTTGTTATTTAGGGGGAAGGAGTTGGGGGGARGGAAATCAAAGGTGATTCTTGAGATTATTTTGTGAAATAATTAGAATGAATGCCATGCCATCAGAAAGATAATGATGAGAAGCCAGGCACTGTGTTGCAGACCTGTAATTTCCTACTTGGGAGGCTGAGGCAGAAAGATCACAAGTTTGAGGCCAGCCTGGGGAATTTAGGGAGAACCTAACTAAAAATAATAAAAAGGGTGTGGGTACAATTCAGGGGTAGAGTGCTGGTCTAGCATATGTGGGGACCTGGGTTTAATCTCCAGTACCATTAGGGAGAAAGTGGGGGCAGGGTTGGAGGATAGAGAAGGAGAGGGGGAGAGGAAAAGGGAAAGGGAAAAGGAGAAAATAAAGAGAATCAGGTGTGAGAGGTGTGAATCATTTATGTCTACATGAAGCTAAGCAAGAGGAAGTTTCTATTCTCATGGAATTTACATTCTATTGGTGGGAAGTAAAGAGGCCTGCACACCTATAATCCCAGCAACCCAAGAGGTTGAGGCAGGAGGACCCCAAGTTCAAGGCCAGCAACTTAGTAAGATCCTACTCAAAATAAAAATAATAAAAATAAAAAGGTCTGGGGATATAGCTCAGTGGTAAAGTACCTCTGGGTTCAATCCTCAGTACCTTTTTTTTTTAATTTTAAAAAAAGAAGGTATTATATTTGCCTGATTTATTTTTTAAAAAATCCTTAAAATTATTCCTTAAAAATTCTATCCTTATTGCTTTTTGAAGACTATCAAATTGAAAGTATTTGTGCAACTATTTTAATTTACATAATAGTACATTTTGCAGAGGACACATGGCTGAAATTAACTTCAATTAACATTGGTTTTGGAGGAGCATTTAAAAAAAAAGGTTTTTTTATAGTTCTGGGATTTGAACTCAGGGCCTCACACATGCTAGGCAAGAACTCTACTACTGAGCTACATCCCCCGCCCTTAACATTGTTTTGTTTTTTTTTTTTTTTAAGAGAGAATTTTAATATTTATTTTCTAGTTCTCGGCGGACACAACATCTTTGTTTGTATGTGGTGCTGAGGATCGAACCTGGGCCGCACGCATGCCAGGCGAGTGCACTACCGCTTGAGCCACAACCCCAGCCCAACATTGGTTTTTGAATACCTTATAGGCCTTCTGAAAGAACTATTTTAAAAGAGAGAAATCTAATTCAGATTCAGTCATTATTCCTGGGAGTTATTAACTTCAGATCACATTTTAGATGTCATAAATTGAATTAGACCAACTGCTCTGCAACAAGTTAACCTACAGCCAATGTAAATAAATTTTTATAAAGTCCCCTTAAATAAAGCAGTGCAAGTTGTATTAGTGAAATTATAATTATACATCTAAACTGGTTTTTAAAAAATATTGTTCTTATATGTGTAAATTTTTGATTTGTTACAGAATTTCCAGTGAGGCATTAGAAAGGATTTTCTGTGTCACAACTTTCAGAGAACTGATGAGATATGGAAAAATATTAGATGATTCATAAATGAGTAAAAATAAAGATATTCAATAAAGGAATAAAGAAATTAATAACAAAGATATCAATGTCAAATATTCATTTTAAATAAATTTGTTTCATAATGTAATGTAAAATATTGACTATATTACCTATCTGGCTGGTTTCTAATTCAATATCAATCCTCTCTTCCTTAAATAATTCTGATTTTATTGGGGATAGCTATGTATTCAGTTAAATCTATTTCTTTGCCTCCCTGGGATTTGGTCATATACTTAAGTTCTGGTCATGAGATGAAAGCACAAGGGTTGTGCAGCCATTTTGGAAAGCTCTGCAAATTAAAAGCCTTCTTTGCCAGTTGCTGTGCAAAATTTCCCTCATAATATCTAGTACGATAGTGAGGATGCCAATACTATATATTGAGGCTATAGCTCGCTTGACGCCAAATTAGACATTGTACTCTACTACCTAGAATACTGCCACTTGGGTGCACCCCTTGTTGAACATCCCTAACACTAAACTTAAGTTTCCTTATTTAATCTATATTTCCTATGATTTAATAGCATCAATCAGCTTCTCCAGCCAACCAAGACCGAAACATGGGATTGATTCATCCTGTATGTCCCTCTTTCCCTTTTTCTCAAGAACTTATTAGTCCTTCAACATTTCTCCTGAACAGCTCTCCTCACCATTCAAATGTTAGTCTTAATTCAGGACATTACCATATATTGTTTAGAGGACAATGGTTCATTTTGTTTCCCTCTTTGTCTATTCTTTTGTACAGATGTAGGAACTAAAGAAGTTTGCTAGATATATATTTCCTTCCTTGAACTCATTTACTACCTCACAAATGAACTTTTAAAACATAACTTGTTTTTAAGTTGAAAGGGGAAATTCAAAATCTGGAATTCTTGTTTAAGCAATAACTTTTGTTCATTTAACAAGTCTGTGCAGTACAGAGTATGGCATTTAAAATAAAAATCTCTTTGCTGGGCATTCTCAGACAAATTACTTAACTTTTCTGACTTGTAGTTTTCTCAGCTATAAAATGGGGGTCAAAACAGTAATCTTGGGGTTGAAGTTGTAGCTCAATGGTAGAGTGCTTGCCTAGCATATGGGAGGCCCCGGGTTCAAACCTCAGCATCACATTAAAGGAAAAAAAAAAAACACTCTGCGACTGGTGGCTCAGTGGCAGAGTGGTTGCCTCACACATGTGAGGCACTGGGTTCAACCCTCAGTACCACATTAAATAAAATAAAGATATAGAAAAAATTATTAAAAAACCCACCAATCTTACCACATTGTTGTAAAGATTAGTGATAAATGTGTTTAAAATGCTGGAAGCTAAATCTAGCACACAGGAATCACTACTGCTCTAGAAGAATTCCTTATAATTTATGAGGGACAAATGTTAGTAACAATAATAACACTATATGCCAAGCGTTTTTGCTAACATGTCATATGCTGCCTCATTTAATCTTCAGAACAGTCAATAAAATTTCTATATTCAAAATACTTATTAAACACGTATTATACATGAAGCACTGTGATTATTTTGCAGAAAGGTAAATGGAGGTTTTTCAAGGAAGGTTATTAAGTAACTTGCCCAATGTCACATAGCTTATGAGTGGCAGAGTTGGAATTTGAACCCACAGCTAATTAAAAGACCAAATCAAGGGAGAATCCAAGTTTTATAGAGCTTGGGGCTTTAAACAGTTTTATGAGCTCTAAGAATACAAAAACATCTTATTTTTGAAATATTTTAAAAAACATATGACCATGAACATACTGCTCAAGTCTCTCAGTATTTTGCAAGTGAAGAAGTTGGTCAATGAGAAGTACTAAAGATTCATTTGTTTCAAGCCACACAAGATTGTGCAAGCCTACAGTCCTAGGTACAAGAGAAGCTGAGACAGGAGAAGCAAGAGAGCCCTGGAATTTGAGACTAGCCTGGGCAAAATAGTAAGACCCTGTGTGTGTGGGGGGGGAAGATGTATTAGCTTCGGGGTAAATCCCCTCTGTGTCATACTCTTAGCCACATGTTTTATTTACATCCAAATTAGTTATTTGAATACAAATGAGTGTATATTTGTTTGAACTAAAATCTAGGCATAACACTGTTCTGCCTCATGGGAATAAAAATAAGGATAAACAAACATGAAGAATTTCAAAATTAGAAAAAAATTGTTTGGAATTATGGAAATATGTTGTATTTTATGGATGAATCTGTTGAAAATCTCAATCTATTAAACAACCAAAAAAAAAATTCTATAACCTCCTCAATAAAATTTTCCCCCAAGTCAAAGCCCTTTTGTTGGGGTGATCTTTTTCTCTGTGTCTAGGACATCTTCTATGTCCTCCATCAATATAATTATTTGATTGTATAGAGATTTTTTTGTGTTGTCGTTAATTTCTAGTTTCCCAAACTGTATATACCTTCTAATCTGGGGTCAGGTCTCTTTACCTTTTTATCACACAGTAAGTATTAACAAATATGTGTGTGTGTGTGTGTGTGTGTGTGTGTATGTATGTATGTGTGTGTGTGTGTGTGTATATATATATATATATATATATATTTATATATATATTTATATATATATATATTTATATTTGTACTGGGGATTAACTCCAGGGTAGCTTTATCACTGAGTTACATCCCCAAACTTTTAAATTTTTTGTTATTTTTGAGATAAGGTCTTGCTAAATTGTTGAGCCCAGCCTTAAACCTGTGATCCTCCTGCCTCAGCCTACCAAATCACAGATGGGCACCACTACCCCAGGCTCAACAAATATTTTTTTCCATATTTTTTATTGGTGCACTGTAGCTGTATATAGTGGTGGAATTTCAACAAATATTCCTTGAATAAATGAGTTAAATAAAAATTTTTATAGCACTCTAAATTTCAGATTAAAATTTTTTACCTTTTTCTAAAAAAAAAGTTGAATGACAATAGTGGTTTAATTAAAAACTATAAAAAGTTATAAAAACCTAATCATGACTATTCATAAATGTCATTAATAGTAGCATTATATTATAACATCAGTATAACACTATTTTAGAGAAAGGGAAATAGACAACCAGTTTACCCTGTTAGGGGTTCAACAATATCCCCTCAAAATTTTTGTCCTTCCTGAAACTTTAGAAAGTGACCTTAGTTGAAAATAGGGTTGCTGTAGATGTTATTAGTGAAGATTATATTAGAGTAGGTGGGTTCTTAACTCAGTATGAATGGTGTCCTTAGAAGAGAGGAGACACAGACACAAGAGGGGAGAGAGACATGTGACTTTGATAGAAGTGGAGTTTGAAGTGCCATGTCCTAAAGCAGAGAATGCCAAGGATTACTGGTAACTATCAGAAAGTAGAAAGAGGCAAGGAAGTACTCCTGTATAGGTTTCAGAAGAACCATAATTCTACCTTGATCTCCGACTTCTAGCCTCTAGAACTCTGAGACCATCTGACCTAGTGTTTCCTCTTGTCCACTGCACTTATCACTGTAGGAAATGATCTAATTTTGTTTATTGGCAGTCTTTCCAAGGGTTCATAAGATCCTCAAAAGCTGGGCTCTTGCCTTGGTCCTCCTTGTATCCCTAGTACTTGAGGAAATTCCTAGTACACTCCAGGTCCTCAGAAAGTGTAAGAGCAAGTAAATGAACTATGCCAACTATAAAAGACTTTAGTTTATAGCTGTTCAAAGGACATGAACAGCAAAGAATAAGGGTAATTTCACAAACCCTACCAATATTTTCCAATTGATTGAGGAGTGGAAAAAAAGATGGAAAATAATGGGACTAAATTTTAATAAGCACATCAAAACTTACTGTTTGTTCTTTTTGTTTGATACTGAGGATTGACCCCAGGAGTGCTTTACTATTAAACCCCATTCCCAGCCCTTATTGTGGCTTGTGTCTGTAATCCCAGCTAATTGAGAGGCTGAGGTGGGAGGCCAGCCTAGGCTTCATAGCCAACCCCACCTATTATGTTAAAGGGCTGGGGATATGGCTCTGTGGTACAGCATTTGCCTGGCATGTCATGCCCTGGGTTGGATCTGCAGCATCACAAAAAATGAAAAATAAGGTAAAAACAGATGTATAATCAAAGTAGTCACACCTAGGTAAAGTCTTATTCGAGTCACCGTGTCATTGCTCAAAACTTTTTTGGTAAATTCCTTATTTGGAACTGGTGTTAGGGCCTGAAACCCAGTTCTCAGGGTGGCTGCGATTTTGAGAAACGAGCAAAAATAATTAGGAGCTAAGCCTAGTAAATAAAGTCAATGATAAAGCTGAGTAGTAACATTAAGAAACGAGGTGTGCCTACTGAAAAAACAAAAGTCCCCAAATTGGAAAGGTTCTTTAAGGCAGGATCATGAAGGTAGAAAAAGAATAAGTTAAATTAAGAATAAATTTATGGTAGTGGGAAATGTAAAAATTCCTCTAAAAAATGTCATTGACACCTTTTATTACTCCCCATCTCCAAGAAAATGACGTCACTAAGGAATGGCGGTGTTCTTAAGAATCCGTGCTGACGTGCGGGAAAGTTAAAAATCAGCAGTGACCCAAGAACTCTCCGAACCCCATACCAACCATAACGAAATCATCCTTCCGATAGGCTTGAAAGGTCTGGTCAAACCCGAACGCCTGGGCCTTGATTCTGCCCAGCATGGACCTGGAGCAGAGAGGATAAAAGAGTCAGCTTGGGACTGGCAAACTCTCAGGGCGCAAAATACACGGGTCCTACCCACAGTATCCACCCTGCCCTAGTGTTAACAGCTGCTTCAGAGTTTCTTTCACTCAGTATGAGGCCGACTCGGCTTAGACGCCCTCGACGCCCGGCCAGCATCTGGCCCGCGCTTCCTCCACAGCAGCGAAGGCCGAGGAGCTCTTGTCTCCCCGTTCCTCGGTCCCTCACCACTGGCGGAGCCGGCTGGTGGTGTCTGGGGCGCTCAGAGATGGGAAGATCTTCTGAGGCAGGAACCTGAAGTAGTAGCCACCCAAGTCCCCGGGTTCCCCAGCCGCCATCATGCTAATGACTGCGTGAAAGGAGCCGTTTCCATAGAGACGCGGCGGCCGTCGGGGCGGGGCCACGGCGCAGGGGCGGGGCTACGCGTCTACCGAGAGCGCAGGCAGGTCCGCCGGGCGGGGCCTAAAGAGGAGGAAAAGCAGCTTGGTTTTCCAAGCAGTTTGCTCCAGGATTGCGACCCGCACCCTTCTTGAACCCCAGGCTTATCGGTTATGGGAACTGGGGGTCGAGGATAGAGCAACACTCTCGATAGATGCTTGTTGACATTACTTCATTTTTTTTTTTTTATACTGGAGATCAAACTCAGAGGGACCCTAGACCTTGATCCACATGTCCAGCCCTATTGTGTATTTTATTTAGAAACAGGGTCTCACTGAGTTGCTTAGCGCCTCGCTTTTGCTGAGGCTGGCTTTGAACTTGCAATCCTTCGGTCTTAGCTTCCCAAGCCGCTGGGGTTACAGGCATGTGCTACCCGGCCTGGATGACATTACCTCTTAATAATTACTCAGCACAGGTTAATGTCCTACTCTCAAACACTACAATCTCAGATTTACAATTATCTAAGTTTGATGACTCAAAAGTTAATGAAAAAATTCCGTATTCATTAGATTTACTATTTTGTAAGATAAATGTCTATGTGACTACTGTGTCTAGTACTACTGATACTATCTGCCTCTCTTTTTCTTATATCTGAAAGGCTAAAATATGTTTCCGTATATACGCTGCACTACAACATTCTTATTAATAAGAGTCACAGTATTTGTTTTCTACTGAAATTTGCCTTTTGTATAGTTTTGTTGGTTTTTTTGGTTTTGTTTTGTCTTTTTGCTTGTTTGTTTTGGTCTAGTAGTGGTTCATTGGGGAGCTCTTTTTTTACCTCTTTACTTCCTCTCCTTTCTTCCCTGTTCCTTTAGAACTGATCTTGAGGGGCGGGAGCCATAGCTCAGTGTTAGAACTAACATGCACAAGGCCCTGGATTTGATCTCAAGCACCTAGAGGAAAACACCCTTATCTTGATTATTTCTTAGCAGCAGCAGCAGCAGCAGCAACAGGAGACAGTGGTTGGGGGAGGGTAAAGAAACACAGAGAATCATTCTGTTTTGTTCTTTAGCATTCCAACCCGTTTCCATACCACAGTTTAGCCTTTTGGTTTATTTCCAATTCGAGATTATTAGGAAAGCTGCTATGAACTTTAGAATGTATATCTCTCTTTTTTTGTGTGTCCCCTCCCCACTCCTCAGTATGTCCTTTAATGACTTGCATACTTACTTCTTTTACAAATATATCCAGGATTGGAATTGCTCAGTTATACAATATAAACATATTTTACTAGACACTAACAATTTTTTCCCCCACAAATAATCAGTTTACACTCCAAATGGCAGTACATGAGATTTCCAGTGGTTCAACATTCTTGCCAAAGTCAGTCTTAAAATTTAATCTATTCTGGAGAGGTTGTATTAATTTCCCATTGTGATTTGTAATTTGCTTTTCCTTGATAGCTAATGTTTTGAGCAACTTTTTATAGACTTATTGGCCATTTGGATATCTTCTCTGGTGAAGTACTTCTTCAAGTGTTTTGTCCAGGCTGTCAGTCTTTCTCTTATTAATTTTTATGAAGTTTTTAATAGTCTGGGTGTGAGTTCATTGCCAGATATATATATTGCAAATATTTTCTCTGCCTGTAATTTGTGTATAGCTTTGGTGCTCAGAAATTCTTAATTTTAATGAAGTATAATTTATTACCTTTTTCTTTTGTGTGTCAAGTTTAATTTCTGCTTAAACAAAGTCATGAGTATAGTTTCATATTTATGTCCACAATCCATCTAAAAATAATTTTCTTTAAACTCAAGGTTATTTTCCATATTGGTTTCCAGTTGGCCCAGCCTATATATTGGTAAAACCATTTATAACCCACTGAATTGCATGGTTTTTCCMTTTATATTTTAGTTTATTTTTTCTGGTACTGGAGGTTGAACCCAGGGGCACTCTACCTCTGAGCTACATACCCAGCCCTTTTTATTTTTATTTTGAAATAGGGTATCATTAAATTGCTGAGGCTGGCCTCAAACTTGTGATCTTTTTGCCTCAGCCTCCCAAGTAGCTAGGATTTCAGGTGTAGGACACTAGGCCCAGATTTATTATTTTTAAATAAATCAAGTGACTTTTTCTGGGCAGTTTGTACATTGGACTGTCCTTGCATCAATATTGCATTGTTTTAAGTACTGTAGCTTTATAAAAAGACCTAATATCTGAGGATGTGAAGCATCTAGCTTTGTTATTTTTTCTTCAAAATTGCATATTTTGGAGGGGCTGGGATTGTAGCTCAGTGGTAGAGCACTTGCCTAGCATGTGTGAGGCACTGGGTTCGATTCTCAGCACCCCATATAAATAAATAAAAGTTAATCAACAACTAAAAAAAAATTTTAAAAATTGCATATTGTGGAGAGCAGGCATAAACTGATAAATGAACTGTGCTAATAAGAATGCCCTTCCGTGAATTTATCAGATTAATCAGAAGGACATGGATGAGTGGGTGTATCAAAGTCAAATTGTAAAAACCAGGCCCACAAGCTTATTGAACATACCAGACCATCAAATGATGGAACCCTCTCACTTGAGACCCATAAAAGAAGGGGCACCCTGAGATGGACATGGCAGTACCTTGACCCTGTCACCTGGTTACTTGTCATGAGCCTTGCCCAGGAAAATCACCATAGCAATGAACCTTCAAATCTCTGTCCTTGGGTTTTAGCAGAGTGCAGTTTCTTCTGCTCATGATGACCATTCAAATCCCAATCCAAGCTGACATTTCAAGCTGACTGTGAAACTGCCATCTGTTTGGATCTTGGTCTAGAATGAGTTCTTGTGCTTTGACATCTCTGTGCCCTGAAAAAGTAGTTTTACTGGTTCATAATCTTATCTGACCACCTACAGTGATTCTTTGCATTCATATCTGCTCTCTGCCTTTGCTCTTAGTTCAATCTCCTGAACTCCTGTGACCTGGCCAGCTTAACCCTTTCTTAATCTTTCTGAAACCTATATATAATTGTGTATAAAGTGTGATTTGTGGATGTGTGATTTGAGTGTTACAGATATTAGAAATTAAGATTGAAGGGGCTGAGGCTGTAGCTCAGTGGTAAGTGCTTGCCTCACGTGTATGAGGCACTGGGTTCAATCTTCAACACCACATAAAAACAAAGATACTTTGTGTTAATTTACAGTTAAATAAATATTTTTTTTTTTTAAAAAAGATTGGAATGTGATTGCTATGATTGCTTTGCTTATGACTACCAAATGACCAACAAGTATTCAGTGGACTACCACTGATAAAAGAGGATAGCCTGTGACTTTATTGTTATTCAATAAATTCTGATATTGTGGAGAGACAGAAAAATGTTTAGTGTATGTTAATAACATAGCACACTCATCCATATGTTATTACCTTTGCATTTTCATATAAGTCTTAAACAGATTTTATCATTTTACATGAAAGAAATTGGACAGAATTTTGATAGGAATTGCATTGACATATTAAATAAGTAAATTTTGGGGAGTACTCAACATTGTAACAATATCGAATCTTCCAATCTATTATAAATAAGATATTTCTTCATTTAGCTCTTTAATTTCTATCAACCATAACTTAGGAGTATTCAGTAGAAGAGTCTCGGCATCTTTCTGATTTTATTTTGTGTTACTTTAACAAAATAGCTGAAACTGGGTATGTTATAAGTAAAGAGGCCTATTTGGCTCATGATTCTGGTGCTGGAAGATTCAAACCATACGATACCAGAGTCCTATATGACACCAGATGGCTACCTCCTTTGACTGCATCATAACATAGTGGAGAAGCAGCATGGGAAGTGACCATATGCAGAAGACCATGCGGGGTGAACTTGTTTTATAAAGCCCAATCTTGTGAGAAATAATTAACTCATATGAGACCCAAACTACTCTCCCAGCATCAATTCAGTCATGTAGGTGGAGCCCCTATTATATAATTACTTTTCATTAGGCACTGTGTCTTAAAGGTCCTACCACTTCAGCACCACCACACTGTGGATCTAGCTTTCAGCACATGAATCACTGGGGGACAAACCATATGCAAACCATAACAACAACTTCCATTAGATCAATGGTTCTCAACCATGTTTGAGTTTGCTTTCCTAGAGGACATGAAGCAATGTCTGGCAATATGTTTAACTCTCCAAAATGGTGTGGGGAAATGCTATGGACATCTAGGGGGTAGAGACCAGAGATCCTGTTAAATAAACATTCTACAATGCATGGGACAGGCCTCCATGACAAGATTTGGCCCACATCTTGGGTTATGTCTATAGTCCCAGCTATTTTGGAGGGTGACCCTCAGCAGTTTGAGGCAGCCTGGACAACATAACAAGGACTTATTTCAAAATAGAAAAGAAAATAAATCTGGTTTAGAATGTTAATAGTAACAAGGTTGAAGATATATTCCTATGTATTTGTTGAGTTTTGGGGGTGCTAGTGTAAATGATACTTTTACACTTTTTATTTTCTACTTCTTCATTCTAATATATATATATATATATATATATTTATATATATTTATATATAAAATTTAGAAATTTATAAAATTTGTTTTATATGCTGAACTTTATCTATAGAGCTTACTAAGTCATCTTATTTCTTATGGGTTATTGATAGATACTTTTAGAATTTCTATATACATAATTATGGTATCTGATCATAAGAACACATTTCACTTCTTTCTTTTCAATATTTGTGCCTCCTCTACCTCCACCTCTTTTGTTTTTGAGTACAGGCTATGACTTCCAGGGTGTTAAATAGAAGTGGTAGTAGGGGACTTTCTTGCCTTATTTATAACTTCATAACAACAAAAACAACAACAAAATTTGTGTTTCTATGTGTGTGTACATGTTTTAGCCATCAAATAGGGCATAAACTGTAGGTATTTTAATTGATACCAATATTGAGAAAATTGTCTTCATTTTTTTGA